GAACGAAGCTTCTTGATCTTCAAACCGGTCTCGTTCTCTACCATAGCCTTCCATCTTTTGAAGACTTCAAACACTTCTGATTTGTGTTTCATGAAGTAGACCCAAGTCTTCCTCGAGTGATCATCTATGAAGGTTACAAAGTATAACCTTCCGCCGGTGGATGTAACTGATGCTGGACCCCACACATCTGTGTGAACTAACTCAAGCTTCTCTTCTTTAGGAGTTCTGCCAACCCTTTTGAAGCTTATTCTCTTTTGTTTCCCAAGAATGCAACTTTCACATAAATCAATATCAGCCGATCTCAAACCTGGTAACTTCTCATTCGATTGCATAACCTTTAGGCCTTTGCTACTCGTGTGACCTAGCCTCTGGTGCCACAAATTTGGGTCTTCATTACTTTCAGCCACTGCAATGGAACCTCGTGCATCTATCGTCATGTAGAGAGATCCAGTCTTCATACCACGGGTAACAACCATGGATCCCTTTGTAACCTTCCATGTATCACATGCGAAGGTCGAAACGTATCCCTCTTTTGCCAATTGTCATATGGAAATCAGATTTTTCCTCAAACTAGGAACATGTCTCACGTCGCTCAGCTTCCATGTAGACCCATTGAGCTTGATTTGTACGACTCCTTTGCCAACAATATCACAAGGCTGATCATCACCAAGATAGACTTTTCCTAGGTTTTCTGAAACGTAGTTCTCAAATAAATCTCTATTTGAGGTAGCATGAAACGAAGCTCCTGAATCCAGCACCCACGATTCAGTCTTGCTTTCCAACGAACAGATCAGGGCATCATCTGATTCTCCTGAGGCCACGTTCGCTTCAATCTTGTTCTCCTTGTCCTTCTTGGGTTCTCGGCACTGATTTTCATAGTGGCCAAACTTGCCACAATTCCAGCAATCGATCTCCTTCTTACCCTTGCAGTTCCTGGACTTTGATCTTCTGTTCCTCGAGTTAGGTCTTCCACGGCTATTTCCTCTGTTTCTGTTTCTGTTTCTGTTTCTTCCTCTGCTCTCAAGATTCAACGCCGACCCTGAATTAGAAATCCCTTCCTCTTGACTTCTAATCTCCTCAGTCATAATCATGTCCACCACCTCTGAAAACTTCAGTTTTGATTTGCCACATGATCCACTAATCGAGATAACGGTACCCTTCCAACTGTCGGGTAATTGACCAAGTATCAAGAGGGCTTGGATTTTATCGTCAAACTGAATATTGACCGAGTTTAATTGATCCGTGATCTCGTTAAACTCGTTCAGGTGTTCCTTGAATTTCTGGCTCTCGGACATCCTCAAATTAAACAACTTTTTAATGAGATGTACCTTATTCGCCGCAGAGGGCTGCTCATACATACTGGACAACGCCGCCATGAGATCCGCCGTCGTATTCTGATTCTTGATGTTGAACGCTACTGATTTAGACAAGGTCAACCTGATCGCTCCAAGGGCCTTTCGATCCAATAGCTTCCAATCCGCATCTTTCATATCCGCCGGCTTCTCTCCCAATGGTAGGTATAAATCCTTCTGATAGAGGTAGTCCTCCATCTGCATCTTCCAGAACCCGAAGTTTGTTCCATCAAACTTCTCAATCTTGGATGTTTCCTTCTCAGATCCTATTGTCTCTGATCTCAAATCGCTCGCGCCGAACCTGGTCGCTCCGATACCACTTGTTGGGGATACACAACCCCCCTGATGCGATTTGGAAATAGAGATTTAGGAGAGGAGAGAAAATCAAACAATCTCAAACACACAAGATTTACGTGGTTCGCTTTTCAATGTGAGAAACTACGTCCACGGCCGCCGCAGGAGAAAAATTCACTATTTTTCATCTTAATACATCATGCCCTAGCCAACCCTTTTATAGACTTAAGGGTTTAACAAGTAAAGAAGGAAACAGAACAAAACAGGTTAAAAACGAATCTGGGCCAAAACCTGACTCCGGTCGACCGCAACACCACGTGCGGTCGACCGCGATGCGGTTCATAATCCTGATGGCTCTCTGGACTTTGAGCGATCGACCGCTGCGCCACCTTCGGTCGACCGCGACGAAGACTGAAAACTGGGTAGCTCTCTGGACTTTGAGCGGTCGACCGCAGCGCCATGCTCGCTTGACCGCGAGCTTCTCCTCACCCTAGTGCCTGCCTGTGCACGTCGTCGGTCGACCGCCGCGCCATGGGCGGTCGACCGCAAAGCTGTAAAAGCTCTCCTTCGTCGTTTTGCTTGAACTTTACCATCGTCGATCCTGTTCCTCTTGTTCCAACTTTGTTCCTCTTCATTCTGAAGTGTAGGGCACGCCTGATAGTTAGGCTTCACATATCCTAACATCTCTTTGCTGTTTGGCAGCAGCGTGAGGAGTCAGTGGCGAAACTATATGCTGAACTTTAGAAGGGGGATAAGTTCCAGATCGTTGGTCTCCAAAAGGTGGAGGAACAGCGGAAGTAACTTAGTGAGGCTGTGAAAAATGGCTGAGGAGCTCGCTGGTGAAGGTAGCTAGTTGTTGTTGGAGGGGTTGAAAGATCTTCTAAGCTGTTTCTTCAAGCCGTGCTTGAGTAACGTAGCTTGAGTGTGGTCCTCCAGGGATGGACTATTCAACCCTATGCTCGGAACTAGACACATTTGCTCGGAAAGGAAAGAGGCCCCACTGTAGGCGTCAAACTGTTGATGGTCTAAATCACACAGGCCAAAGAGAAGGTAATATGGACTCACTACAACAGACAGGTCTTTTAGCGACCAACTTTTTTGCGAGAAAATTATTTTCCTCAACAAATATCACTTTCGACGAGGAACATATTGTTTCCTCTGTAAATATCAGTAGGTCTTCTACGAGGAATATATTTTCCTCACAGTAGACCACCTTCTACTATAAAAATTTTAGTTCCTCGTTAAAGATGATCATAATTTGGTCTCCTAACTAGTTATTTTATTGGTGAGGAAATATGTGCTTTTGGTGATGAACTTTTTCATCGCGAAATGCACATTTAACGAGGAAATAATCATTTCATCGCTGTTCTTTTGGCGAAAAATAGAAGAAAACCCGCCAAATATAACAGCGACAAAATATGATCTCCTCGCTGAAGATCCATAATCTGCGAGGAACCATTTTCTCATCAAAAGAATCAATTAGCGAGGAAATAATAGTTTCCTCATTATTAGTTTGGCGGGAAAAAAAACCCCCTCTAATTTCAATGGTGGCAAATTTAAGGCTTCATTGCTAAAAGTCTTTGTTTTTACGAGGAATCGTTTCCTCGTTAAAAAGAACTTATTAGCGAGGAAATCATAGTTTACTCACTATTAATTTGGCAGAAAAATTTGCAACACCTGCCAAATTCATTTACGACAAATTAAAGGTTTCCTCGCTAAAATTTATGTTTTACGAGGAACTGTTTCCTCGTTAAAAAACCAATTAGCGAGGAAGTAATAGTTTCCTCGTTATTAGGTTGGCGGAAAAAATGTGCAAAACCCACTAATTTCAATAGCAACAAATTTAAGGCTTCCTCGCTACAAGTTTTTGTTTTACGAGGAACCGTTTTGTCGTTAAAAAGAACCTATTAGCGAGGAAATTATAGTTTTCTCGTTATTAATTTGGCTAAAAAATGTGCAACACAAGCCAAATTCATTGACGACAAATTAAAGGTTTCCTCACTAATTTTTTTTGTTTTACGAGGAACCCTTTCCTCGTTAAAAGAATCAATTAGCAAGGAAATAATAGTTTCCTCATTATTAGTTTGGTGGAATAATGTGCAAAACCCGCCAAATAGATATAAACCAAACATGCAATGAAATATTTTATTCCTATTTGTCAATGAAAAATAGATATAAACTACATTAGCTTTGAGATGTGGGAGATTCTCCTCACAAGTTTAGACATTACTTCGATTCTAAACACTCATTAAATCATACATTCTAAGCTTGTCTAGATATATCCGCCTCAATTAGATATTTATGCCGCAACAAGATATTTCCACTTTGAGTATGTTTTAATGCCTCAACCGGGTATCCTATCGTAGTAAGATATTTCAATCTTGATCACAACAAATTTTCTCTTTGAAAAGATAGCTGAAAGATATACATATGTTTATATTTTCCCTTAACCCCTAAACCCTAAACCCTAAACCCTAAACTCTAAACATGGTCAAAGTAAAATATCAAATTTAACCCTCTTAATAGATATACTCTCTTTGATGCTGTGTACATGGAGAAATATGTAATTTAAACAAGAAAGAGTCAAAGCTAACATATATACCGTCAATCTAAAAGAAAAGCGGGATGTCCTGGTGAGGAAGCCGGAGAAATTACATGTATCGAAAAAATAGCGGGAGAAATAGCGCCAAACCAAAAAAAAAAAAAAAAAAATTTGAACAAAAAAGAATGAATAGATTTACCCTAATATCTCTCTCAATCTCAACACGGCGCTGCAGTGCTGCACTTTGAAACTTAGAGGTTCTCGTTTACATCCAGCCGATCTACTGAGTTTTTAATTTTGGTAAGTACTGAGAATCAATCTTTTATTACTTCGCCCATAGATTCTTTCAATTTTCTTCCTCAATATGTATAAATCTTTTCTGTTTGATTAATCGAGGTCAAGTTTTATGCTAGATCAAGGTCTGATATCGTCAGACTTTAAATGATTTGGGTTAATTTCAATTGCCCTCTTAATCTCTTCTTTTAGATTTGATTATTTGTACAGTTGGTGAACTCTAATTGAATTTTAATGGTCATGATTATTGTTTTGAGTTTTGGTGATCCCCGAATTGAGGTGTGAGTTTTATTTTTATCAGTTATTATAAAATCTGATCTTTTTTGTCTATTTGAGTTGCTAATTATATCTCAAGTAAATTTAAAAAAAATAGATATTTTTATTAAAATTAAGGTGGGAAACTAAATTTGTAGGGATTAAAAAAAACGGGGGAAACGAATTATAATTACCAAAACGCGGTGATTTTTATTTATCCCTCAAAATCGCCCCGCTCTCAGCCTCCCACCCGCGAACTCCCACCCGAAACCTAGTTAGGTTCTTTTTATTTCCCCTCAAAACCCCTCCAATCTCAGCCTCCCACCCGACGAGGACCTCCCCACGATCCAAAACCTAGTTAGGTTCTTTTTATTTCCCCTCAAAACCCCTCCAATCTCAGCCTCCCACCCGACGAGGACCTCCCCACGACCCAAAACCTCCCCTCTCAAAAATTTCAATTGACCTCCGATCTCACCTCGATCAAGACCTTGAGACCTTCGCTTTCCCTTATAATAACAGATTTGGGTGTCTCTGGTCTTTCCAATTCGTGCAATTGTGGTTGCGTCTCTCCCCTTTCCGATTTCTGGCAATTGCATGTGCTGATCGCCTCACCCCCACTAAGGTATTTTGAATTTTCCGATTATTGAGATTAAATTATTCATTTAACTTGTAAAAATTCCTAATCCCTTGTTGATTCTGTGCATGTAATTCTGTAGAGAAAAACTCTCTGCTTTTCTATTCTATACAAAAAAGAAGTAATTTTAGTTATTGTTCTTATTAGGAAAACAGTAACCAAGATCTAAATATTTCATGCTCTCCCTCAACCAATTTGAAATTTCTAATTATTTCTGTACATAGTAGTATATTTTTATTTGAAAATTTATGAACTATTTTTAGGATTAAAAGAAAAAATTTAATCTAATACAGCAGTCTAACATAAGGTGGTCAAAGTGGTTTTGCAGTCAATTTTGCCACAAAACTGCTTGAAGCTTTTGGCTACAACCTGTAGCCTTTTGACTATTATAAAACCAACTGCAACAATAGGAAGTAGGGACATCAAAAAGGCACTAAATGATGAAAGCGGTGTTGCTGCAACACCACAGAACAACCTAAAGAAACATAACATGATGGATTATCTAGAGCTTTATCACAAGAAAGTGAAATGATACTCATAAAATTAATGTGTAGTCTCAATACTGCAAAACCCGCGTCAACAAAAGGCCCAAAATCTGAATTCACCATCAACATGCAGAGATGATTTTGTAGACATCAAACTGGTCATGTATCAACACAATGCAGGGTAAAGAGATACGTTGGTATAATTTTTAAGTATGTTAAACAGCACTAATTCAAGACTTACATGCTCCTACAAGGTCAAAACATACAATGATTTGTGATGAAGATCACGACATAGATGACTGGTACAGATTGGTGCAATTATGACAAGGTGGGATAAATTGATGGCCCAGTTAATTTTGTGTGTCTGCACGATTGTATACTCATATGTCATATTATTGATGTTGGGGGGATTTTATGGGTGTTGTCCTGATTTCATTGGGGCGAGATGGAAGCTCAAGTTTTGGAGTCAGATTTTAGGAAAATAAATATAATCAACCCAAAAGATACGCCTTTATCAGTCTATTGACGTCAACCTCATACACATGCTGACTAATACCAACTCTGATCTTATAGTACCACCAGCTTGGAACATTAGAACAGACACTCAAACTCATAATTACACAGAGATGGAGATTAGAGATGGAGGGTGGTGAAAGCCACCCTGTCACCAGCATTAAGAGTAAAAGCCTGACCACTAGTTTAATTAGCAAATATTGATAACTTAGATTTTGAAGGTACAAAATAATGATATCAAGAAAAACTTATGATTAAAAGTATCAGAAAACAATCCTATATCATTCAAGACCTCCAAATAATGAACAAGATCAACTAACTTTCATAAGCATCTGCAAAATAGTTCTGCATTGTTACTCTACAGAATGTCTTAGGTCTAAGATTCGGCTCATTGAATAATAATATTCATGGATGCGCACTCAGCTTTACACTAGGATAAGGGCTCCTCACATTCATTACCTTAAAGTGTCACACCTTGTGAATCACAATCACTTAAATTGTTATTTTTTATTCTTTTTTTGTTCTCACTTTGATGTTAATCCAGCTTGCATTTGTAACTTCTTGCTAATGTTTTAACTTTTGTTTTCCTTTTTTTTGTTCTTTTATGCTTGATTTTATCTATGGCTGTTGAAGTGTACCTCAATAAATCAATAATCAACGTTAATATCTCATTTTTTATCACTTAATTAACAAAAAATATTATAATTATCGATTAGCCACAGGTAAGTTAGATCATAGGTACAAGTATTGGTTATGTATCTTTTTTATGATTGGTCATATTGTTTCTCAATGGGGAACCCCTTGTTTTTTATTATAGGTACATGATGGACAGAAGTTGGATGTTTGTTAGAGATAGGTTTTACAATCCTGACTTCACCAATGGTTTAAAAACATTTCTGGATGCTGCGAAACAACACCTAGATCATGAAAATAAGACGCATTGCCCCTGTGTTAAATGTTAAAATGCATTGCCGTGTCTTTCTCTACCCGAGATACGCAGACATATACTTGTAAATGGGTTTGCACAACATTACACGACATAGACTGAGCACGGGGAAGATTTTGTTGATGTCGCAGGCGACCAAATGTATGAGGATTTTGAAAGTGACAGCGATGATGATGATGATGACAATGCTGCGATGTTGGACATGTTAAATGATGTCCAAGGGGCTATAAGTATGGAGACAGATGATGAGAACGATATTTATGTTAACAAATATGATTATTTGTTTAATGAAGCTCAACGAGAACTGTACCCGGGTTGTACAAAGTTCTCTGCATTATCTTTTATTATAAAATTAATGCAGATCAAGATAGATGGTCGTTGGAGCAATAAAAGTTTTAAAAATCTACTGAAATTGTTAAATGACTCGTATCCAAAAGGTGCATCCATACCAACATCGAACTATGAAGCCAAAAATATGTTGCTAGAATTGGGCTTGGGGTATGAATCCATACATGCATGCAAGTATGACTGTGCACTGTTTTATGGGAAAGAGAATAAGAAACTGGATGAATGTCCAGTGTGCAAGGAGCCGAGATACAAGTCTTGTGATGGCAAACGCAAGAAAGTTCCACAAAAAGTCTTGCGTTATTTTCCATTGAAGCCGAGACTTCGGAGGTTGTATATGTCGAGACATACAGCGACTGAAATGAAATGGCATAAAAAAAGAAGACAAAATGAAGAGGGTTTCCTACGACATCCAGCTGATTCTGCCGAGTGGAAACACTTTGATCAAGAGTATCCTGATTTTGCTGCAGATTGTCAAAATGTGAGGTTGGGGCTTGCTACAGATGGTTTTAATCCATTTGGAAACATGAGCCCTAGTTATAGTATGTGGCCAGTTATGCTAGTGCCGTACAATCTGCCTCCTTGGAAATGCATGAAAGGAGTGTATTCAATGATGTCATTACTCATACCTGGTCCTCGAGCACCTGGGAAAGACATTGATGTGTTTCTTCGTCCATTAATAGACGAATTAAAAGAATTGTGGGGTATTGGAGTTGAAACTTTTGATGCCTCTGTTGGGAGAAATTTTAATTTGCGGGCATGTGTATTGTGGACTATAAATGATTTTCCTGCTTACGGAAATTTATCTGGGTGGAGCACAAAAGGGTACAAAGCTTGTCCTGTTTGTAACGAAGATGTAACTTCTGAGGGGTTGAGAGGAAAATTATGTTTTATGGGAGCTCGACGAAATTTGCCTGAGGATCATGAGTGGAGAAGGAGTAAATATTTTAACGGTTTAGTTGAAAATCGTCCTCCTCCCAGATTATTTTCTTGGGATGACATATTGCGGCAATTAGATCGTGTTTATAAAGCTAGGCCTGGAAAACATCCTGACAATCCTGATTTAAAGCGACAACGTGAGCCTCATGAGCTAAACTGGACTAGAAAGAGTATTCTTTTTGAGTTAGAGTATTGGTCCAAGCTCAGGTTGAGACATAATATTGATGTGATGCATGTTGAAAAAAATATATGTGATAGTGTCATTGGTACTTTGTTGAATATAGATGGGAAAACAAAAGACACCAACAAGGCTCGTTTGGACTTGGCAGATAGGAAGATAAGAAAAGAATTGCATCTCACACGTCAAGGGAATAAATTGAAGAAGCCTCATGCTAGATATGTTTTGAAATTGGAATACCGTAGGCTGTTTTGTAAGTTCCTCAAAGTTGTCAAATTTCCTGATGGGTATGCTGCCAATATTTGCAAAAATGTGAACATTGTCGATGGGAAGATACATAATTTAAAAAGTCATGATTGCCATGTTTTACTTCAACGCCTCCTCCCAGTTGGTATTCGTTCATATTTGGACAAGGATGTGTGCACTGCAATTGTTGAGCTGGCCATTTTTTTCCAACAGATATGTGCAAAAACTTTAAAGGTGTCAGACTTGGAAAGAATGGAGAAGGAGATTGTTATAATATTGTGCAAATTAGAGAGAATTTTTCCACCGGCTTTTTTTGATGTAATGGTTCACTTGGCAGTCCATTTACCTCGTGAAGCTTTGCTTGGTGGTCCAGTTACCTATCGGTGGATGTATCCTATTGAGAGAAATTTAGGAACATATAAAAAGTATGTTACAAATAAAGCTCGACCTGAAGGTTCTATTGCAGAAGCATATATTGTCAATGAAGCAGTGACATTTTGTTCTATGTATTTTCGTGAGATATCTTGATCTTCAATAAGCTTGACTTGGTACACTTTGCGGATGAAGCTTGAACTTGATCTTTAACTTTGAATTGCAAGGCTTCACTGACATTCCGCCAACCTCCATTGGATTTCATCGTTGAAGCTCTATTTCATCCATCCTCCAACTACGTTGTTTGTCTATAATAAATAAGAAAACACAAATACTAGACAAACAACATTAGTGGTAAATTGTTTGGTTATTGTATATGACCACTATGCTAACTTTCTTGTTTCAATTGTTATTCGTAGATGATTAAAAAGAGAGAAAATGGATTGATGGATGCAACTGATGAGAAGCTTTATTGTCTAGCATGTAAACCAGATTTACGTGTTCATACATACACTGGTTGTATTGTGGATGAAGTTAGATATCATACAAAAGATCTTGATGATCATCGAACAACTCAAAATAGTGGGGTGTATGTCCCTGTAGTTTTTATTGGCGGAAGTCATGATTATTATGGTGTTTTGCTAAGTATTGTGAAGTTAACGTACTTAGAGAAGTCATGATTATTATGGTGTTTTGCTAAGTATTGTGAAGTTAACGTACTTAGATATGAATCAAGTTTTCTTATTCAAGTGTAAATGGTTCAACACCGACGAATCAAGTAGAGACGAAAGGAGAAGAATGATACAGTATGATTATAATCTTACTAGCATTAATACAAGTTCTACGTGGTATGATGATGAACCATTTATACTTGCTATGGAAGCCCAACAAGTGTTTTATCTCGATGGCTGTAAGTTGGGTTCACCCTGGAAAGTTGTACAAAAGGTGCAATTGAGAAACGTGTGGGATGTTCCGGAGGTCGAGGATACAAGTGGAGTGATAGTTGAGGATGATGTAGATCCTGTGACAAATGATGCTTATCAACAAGACGAGTTTAATGATGTTCACTGGTTCGTTCAAGAAGAGGGCCTTGAAACTCCAGATTTGCATCTTAACGATATTGACCCAGAAATTGTTGCTTCAGAGGTTGTGAATGATGATCGGATGAATGATGGTAGTGAAGATAATTTGATAAATGATGATACTGAAGAAGAAGATGATCCAGAAGATGGTGATGAAGAACCAATCATTTCAAGTGATGATGAGGATAGTGATTAGTTTATATCATAATTTTAATGTTCTTTTTTTGATTTGTGCGGGATGTTTTAGTTTGACATAATTTGGTAAATGTAGCTATAATTTTACTGTTATTTTTTTGATTAGCTTCTAGATTTTCTGATCAATAAAACATCCTTTGACATAAAGGATAGAACTATTGATAAACCCTTGAACCATTCAAAACCAAATTTGGTCTTCATATAATCACATTGAAAGTAGATAAGACATTAACTCAACAATATTTTACTTTATGCCTTTGTTCAATACTTCAGTTTATTTTTATTGAAATAGGTTGAAAATTGTTCCAGTATTGTTACTCAAATGACATTTAGCTTTATACAGTTTACTTTATATACTATGTAATCATTTGTCTTTTCAGTTATTTGTGGCAACTTGTTCCCCTGCTCGGGATACTAGTGTTGGTTACACTGCTTGGGGTCACTCAACACTTGTCGGACCTGTAAGTGTAATTAAAGTCTAATATATTGTTTATTTCTCTTTAATATATTGGTTACACTGCTTTTAGCTTAATATTGTTATTAGGCAGCCGTCATACTGGCAAGAACTTATTGATTACATAATTGTTTGGGCACATAACAGATTAAAAGTTGTTCCTATTACTCTGTTGACCTTGAGCACTGCAGAAGGACATGGTCTAAGTGTGATGCATACCTTCTGGATAGAATTGTATTGTCACATGGGACTGGGAGTTCTTCTTTGTAAAACCTATAGTAGGATAAAGGCTAAGAGGATATGAAAGGCATTATGGATTAATGTTTACAAGGTTTAGCTTAGAACCACACTACCCATTGTGCCTGATTTTATATTGCTACCATGCATGACTTTGAAAGTGAATATACTATTGAAGAATGTATTTACCTGAACAACTTCCGCTTTTCACTTTGCACAATTAGCAATAACCATGTGCATCATGCTTACTTTATTTTACTCATTCATACATAGAAGACAGGAACAAGATCATCAACTTTACTTGTGTTGTTAAAGGTGTAATTGCGTAAAACTCTAAATAGCAAGATGAAAAATAATAATATGTAAAGAAGAGATCCTTTTTAGCAGACTATCCCTAACATTTAAATAAAACTACATAAAGGTCGCAACATTAAATCCTTTTTAGCAGACTATCCCAGTAATTTGTTTTAAATAATATGTAAAGAATAGATTCCTTTTTTTGTTGAATTTATGTGCTTATAGTTAGTTGATCAGCAGGTTTGCTAGGGATGACCGAGCATGACTTTACATTATCAAAACCAACTTTACCCTATATGTTTCGAAGAATCTTGAGCCTGATCCAGATCTATAAATTAGTATGTGGAATGTCCTTCAACAGATTGTCCAATCAGCCTTTTAAGCTGAAAGCCTGAAACATAAGATGATAAAGAGCAAATGAAAACCTTTGTGAAATTATCCTACACACTTCCATTCCATGTGCAATAGTTGTATGCCTGTATCGTGGAGCCACTGTGTGGTAGTACTCTTTTCTTTTTATAGAAGTGACATTATAGAAGTGACAACAAATCTGTGAGCTTAAAGAATAAGGTTACTACCAAGGTAAGCTGATCATGTTTGTGTCCGCCTGCTGTCATAATCATGTCGCAGCTTGTTCTGGGCCTCATTATACTTGTATCTTGTCACCCGTTGCTCCATTTTTTGTAATTAATTTAGCAACTTTTGAGTTTTCACCTGAAAGGCACTAAAGTTGATGATAATCATGTCTGATGTATATCTTTCAGATTTGGAAGGCGAAACTGACAGTAAAATTCGGGCCATTGAAGAACTAGAAGAGCTCAGAGTGAAGAGAGCTGATAAACAGGCAAATTTGACATTACCAGTTTGCATCTTGTGTCTTTCTGATTGGTTTTACTTTTCCTGCTGATATTTAAATGTAACAGCTTCATACTTATCCTTGCTGCAGTCTATGCTTCTTCTTGATGCTTATATGTAAAGAATAGATGAATGTTACATTCTTTTGCATTTTGACCATTGTAATTGTTTGATAATAAACAGTGAGAAGATGTACCGTAACAAAGCGGCTATCGTTCAAAGTTCTACTTCTGGTAAGTAGTGCATATTTCTCTTATAATTCATGATTCATTCACTTGGTTGATTAGAATATTGTTATCAATTTAACGTTTATGTAACAATAGGTAATGCACCAAGTAATCAATCACATGCAGAATTATTGAAAAAGAAACGTTCTCATGCAACAACTAGTTATCTGCCATACGTGAATTCTACAGGGAATGGATCCGGTTCTAATACGAGTAAATATGCAATCTTCATTTTACTGCTAGAATATTTAAGTAATGTTAGTTTTTACTTATCTAACAAGTGTGTATGCTAATAGGTACAAAACGTACTCGTCTGCAAACTTCCAATCAAGAATGCCAAAATTCTGTAGCAGATGGACTGAATTCTAGTAGTACTGTTGTCACCACAGAACGAACTACTACTGGTAAGTGGTGTTAATTCTAGTAGTACTGTTGTCACCACAGAACGAACTACTACTGGTAAGTGGTGTTGAATTGAGCTGAATTAAGTTGAATTGAGCTGAATTGAATTATTTTCCTCTAAAAGGTATAGAGAAGCTGAATTGAATTTCATTTTCATCAATTGCAAATTACAAGGGTATACCTAAACTACAAACTCGAATGACAGGGATTAGAGTTAGTGCACGTCTTCAGCAACAAAGTGTTAATGATCAGCCAGTGGTAAACACCATAGCTGAAGAGCGAGATGATAATTTGATGTCAGATATTAATCAGGAGCATCCTCCAGGTATACAAAATATTATATACAAATATTTTGAGAATTAAATATACGTATGTGTTATGTTCTTAATAAAAATTATGTCAAAGGTACAACCAAAAAGGTGCGAGGGAAGACAAGAGGAGTGAATGCAGATAAGGTGTTCTTCCAATTGAATTCTAAAATACTTGTGACTCTGACTGAAGAAAATGACAGACCTACGGGGCCTTATGCTGAGATGTTTGCAAATGAAATTGGTTACACAATTCGAAACTACGCCCCACTGAATGTGGAAAAATGGAAGAAGATTGAAAAAGCAGATGTGGAGAACTTGATCAAAAGAATGCAGGTTAGTGATGACTTACTTTAACTGTTTTACTTGTTGACGCCATCCTCCGCTTGTATTAGTAAACCGCTTCTCTCAGAAAAAATTACCGAGCACCACCTCAAATCAGAAGCTACACCACTCCCAATCTGAATAACAGCTCTGATACCAATTGTTGGGCGCAGAGTCACGCCCGCCGCCGCGGAAGCGATATCACCTGAGAGAAAGCCCTGGCTTTTGTTGTCCCAAAAGCACAAGTCAACCTCTGTATTCTTGTTTCTCAAAGGAAACGCGAATAGATAATGAAATTCTTATTTCTCAAAGGAAACAAGAATTGAAAGTGATATATTTCATCAAAGTGAAATATACACTCTTCCTCTCATCAGCTCTACGACCGAATTTTGAGGGATCCTACAAGCAATAGCCAACAACCCAGAAAAACAATAAATACCCGAGATTTATGTGGTTCGGCAAACTTGCCTACGTCCACGGGAGGGGTGAGGGGAGATTCCACTATAAGGAGAACACCGACGACTTGTACAATCCACAAGCTCGTCTCAAAGATCTGATTTTTTACCCAAAAGAAATAAACCTCTCTTTTGTAGAATCTCTCTTTTTTCTCTCCTCTCAAGATCTCTCTTTCTCTCTCTTATTCTTCCTCTGCTCAGCCGCTGAAAGAAAGTCTCTGCCTTTGCGATTTTTCTTTTCTCCAAGCCGCTTTTTCCCGCTGCTTGCTCCTGTTCCTTTTTTTTCTTGCTGCCGAAAAAGACCCAGTCCTTTAGCCGCAATTTTCTTCCAAAGCCGCTGTTCCCCACTCCGTCAAACCCTAGAATATTAGGTATATATATAGGAGAGTTGATTCGGGTGAACAGCAAACACGTGAACATGATTTCTGTTTTGATTCCGCGTGAGCCTTATCTCATCACATAGGCACGTTTTGATTCCGCGTGGCCCCCACTCTCACAATTCTCCACCTCGTACATCATTTGATAAACCTCGAATTATGGACGAATACCAGAAGAACACCGCGAACATCATCAGAGATATTTCCATCGGCCAAACCAGGCCAAAACCAGCTGCGTCACTTTACCGCGACTGCCTACGTACCCTCTACCGGGATCAAGCTAACCGTAGTTCTATAATTGTTCTCCATATAGTCTCCACCTCACCCCATCACCGCCCCGAAGGGCCATGCCCTCTTGGGCAAATCAACACGGGCTAATATGAAGCAAGTCCAAGCAATGCTTAAACTTGCTACCTGTGACCACCTTGGTTAACATGTCTGCAGGATTTTCATTCGTATGCACCTTCATGAGAGAAATATCACCTTCCTCTATGACATCCCGCACAAAATGATACCTGACATCGATATGCTTGGTACAAGTATGATGAACTTGATTCTTTGCCAAGTGAATCGCACTCTGACTGTCAAACCCATCAATCTGACATGTATCTCCACCAAAACACAGACCCGTATCCGTGGTACCTTTCAAGTACCTCAGGACCCATTTCACCGCTTCCCAGTGCGCCTTTCCCGGATTCGCCATGAACCTGCTGACCACACTAACCGCTTGTGAAATATCTGGGCGTGTACACACCATGGCGTACATCAAACTGCCAACTGCACTAGCATAAGGAACACGCTCCATGTGTGCCTTATCTTCCGCTGTAGTGGGAGATTGTTTACCTGAAAGCCTAAGTGAAATATCAGGACGTGTACACACCATGGCGTACATTAAACTGCCAACTGCACTAGCATAAGGAACACGCTCCATGTGTGCCTTATCTTCCGCTGTAGTAGGAGATTGTTTACCTGAAAGCCTGAAGTGATCCGTGGTACCTTTCAAGTACCTCAGGACCCATTTCACCGCTTCCCAGTGCGCCTTTCCCGGATTCGCCATGAACCTGCTGACCACACTAACCGCTTGTGAAATATCTGGGCGTGTACACACCATGGCGTACATCAAACTGCCAACTGCACTAGCATAAGGAACACGCTCCATGTGTGCCTTATCTTCCGCTGTAGTGGGAGATTGTTTACCTGAAAGCCTAAAGTGTGGAGCCAATGGAGTCAAAAGGAGATAGATATAATCACCTCCACGAAGCTTTTGAATGTAAACACAACAATCGTAATCGCTTCGGGAAAACCCATGCTTTAGCATGAAGGAGTCAAATCGCTTGTACCACTGCCGAGGAGATTGCTTTAGTCCATAGAGTGACTTCCTCAAGCGACATACATGATGTTCCTTATTCTCAACCTTGTAGCCCTCAGGTTGATGCATGTAGATTTCTTCATCCAAGTCTCCGTGCAAGAAGGCCGTTTTAACATCGAGTTGTTCCAGCTCAAGATCACCATGAGCAACAATACTCAATAGCACCCGAATAGAAGTGTGTTTCACCACCGGAGAAAAGATCTCATTGTAATCCACACCCTCTTTTTGTGCAAACCCTTTAGCCACTAGCCTCGCCTTGTACCTTGTACCACCGAGCTCTGAAGGATCTTCCTTTCTCTTATACACCCACTTACAACCAATAGCTTTTCTTCCTACGGGCAATGGGACCACCTCCCATGTTTGGTTCTTCCGAAGAGATTCCATCTTCTCCTCTATCGCAGCCAACCAACTCTCATTATCTTTATCCCGAATAGCTTCCTTGAAGGAGATCGGCTCATCTTCCTCCACCGAGAGTGCGTATTCAACCAAATTAACCTGCCCATAGTGCTTCAGGGGTTGATCAGCCCCCAGCTTCTGTACCTGCTTGTATGCTCGCTTTGGCATAGTGGAAGCCAAAGTATCCTCGAGCTGCTGCTGTTGTAGTGCTTGTGTATTTTCTTGCTGAACCTCCTCCTGCTCAAGCTCATCATCTACCTGATTTCCCACTTGAACATGACTAGAACCTGGTTGGTCTTTAGGTTCTATCTCAATAACCTGGGACTTTGAAGTCCCAACAGTCCCAACACCATCATCCTTGGGCGCCCTAGCAATCATGGATTTTTCATCAAAGGTAACATCCCTGCTGATCACGAACTTTGAATCTTCTGTACACCAAAGGCGGTAGCCTTTTACGCCCTTCGCATACCCTAAGAATATCGCCTTCTTAGCCCTCGCGTCAAGCTTTCCCTCGTTGACGTGATAATAGGCGGTACATCCGAAAATTCTGAGCCTCTCATAATCTGCATGTTCCCCTGACCACACCCTATAGGGTGTATCACCATCCAATGTCGAATGTGGAGAACGGTTCACAATGTAACATGCTGTAGCCACCGCTTCTGCCCACCATTCGTTGCCCAATCCAGCATAAGATCGCATACTCATTGCCTTCTCCCGCAATGTTCGGTTCAGTCTCTCCGCGACCCCGTTCTGCTGTGGTGTTGACCTGACTGTCCAGTGTCGAACAATGCCCTCCTGATCACAGAACTCCTTGAAAGCACCGTCTGTATACTCTGTACCGTTGTCAGATCTTAGTGTCTTCAATTTCTTGCCCGTCCTGTTCTCAACCATTGCTTTCCACTTCTTGAATGTCTCGAATACCTCATTCTTATGCTTAAGAAAATAAATCCAAGCATATCTCGAATGATCATCTATGAACGAGACAAAATACCTGGAACCACCCTTGGAAGTTGTCTGAGCCGGACCCCAAACATCCGTGTGCACATAATCTAGTATACCTCTGCTCTTGTGATTGCTTTTCAAGAATTGGACCCTGTGCGCCTTTCCGTACACACAATCCTCGCAAAAATCCATGCAAGGTTTCTTCAGATTCTTCAGCAAACCCTCCTTACCAAGCAGAACCAGACCCTTCTCTGACATGTGCCCAAGCCGCCTATGCCATAACCGGGTGTGCTCACATGGGTCTCCACCACTTCCATCAGTTCCAACCGCTGCATCTCCTGTCACCGTCGTACCCGAGAGAGTATATAGATTACCGTGACGAACACCCTTCATCACTGTTAGGGAACCTCGAACAACCTTCTTTACTCCGTTCTCTGTAACAATCTTGCAGCCACCGGAGTCTAATGCACCCACTGAGATAAGATTCTTCCGCAAGTCGGGAACGTGCCGCACGTCCGTTAGGGTTCTGACCACTCCATCATGCATCTTGATTTTTATATCACCGAGCCCCACCGTTTTACAAGCATGGTTATTCCCCAGCAATACAGTTCCACCATCAATGCTCCTATAGGTAGTAAACCACTTCCTATTTGGGCACATGTGGTAAGAGCAACCTGAATCAAGTATCCACTTACCGGAGGTATCTTCGCCACCCGTAACAACATAGCATTCTTTATCGCTCCCTTCCTCCGATGCGTAACTCGCCTCTTCCTTGCCTTCTCTTCTCTCGGTCTTGTTGTTGTTCTTTTTCCCACCTACTCTCTTGTTAGGACAGTCGACCTTGAAATGCCCAACTTCACCGCATTTGAAGCACGCTCGTCCCGCAAGGGGTCTCGATTTAGATCTAGACTTTCCTCCCTTGCCTTTTCCTCGCTCATTGCTCCTTCCTCTAGCAAACAATCCCTGCGCTTGTTCTTTGTTACCACCAGTAGTCATGTCACCGGTTGCAATCTTTCGAAGGTCATCCCCTAGAAGCGCCGTTCTAGTCTCATCCATCGTCAAATTGTCTCCCACAAGCATCAATGTTTGCACCAGGTTCTCATAAGACTTCGGCAGAGATAGAAGTAATAGAAGAGCCTGATCCTCATCTTCTACAGTCACATCGATGTCCTTCAGATCCGATATAATCCTATCGAACTTGTTGATATATTCCCGGATTGATGAGCCCTCCTCCATCTTGCAAGTATACAATTTGGATTTCAAATAGATCCGGTTTGTTAGACTCTTCGTCATGAAGGTGCTTTCTAACTTCAACCACACGCCCGCAGCCGTTTCCTCTCCATCTACCAAGAAAGCTACATCCCTTTCAAGGCAAAGGATAATCGACGCCCGTGCTTCCAGATCCAGCTCCTCCCAATCCTCATCAGACATATCCTTGTGCTTCTTCTCTTTTCCCGCCAAAGCTTTGTGCAATTTCTGCGAAATCAACGTGTTCTTCATCTGCATCCTCCAATAGGAAAAATCATTCTTCCCATTGAATTTTTCAATCTCGTATTTTCCAACTTTAACTGTTTTACTTGTTGACGCCATCCTCCGCTTGTATTAGTAAACCGCTTCTCTCAGAAAAAATTACCGAGCACCACCTCAAATCAGAAGCTACACCACTCCCAATCTGAATAACAGCTCTGATACCAATTGTTGGGCGCAGAGTCACGCCCACCGCCGCGGAAGCGATATCAGCTGAGAGAGAGCCCTGGCTTTTAAAGCTCTGGCTTTTGTTGTCACAAAAGTACAAGTCAACCTCTATATTCTTGTTTCTCAAAGGAAACGAGAATAGATAATGAAATTCTTATTTCTCAAAGGAAACAAGAATTGAAAGTGATATATCTCATCAAAGTGAAATATACACTCTTCCTCTCATCAGCTCTGCGACCGAATTTTGAGGGATCCTACAAGCAATAGCCAATAACCCAGAAAACAGTAAATACACGAGATTTACGTGGTTCGGCAAACTTGCCTACGTCCACGGGAGGGGGGAGGGGAGATTCCACTATCTCGTCTCAAAGATCTGATTTTTTACCCAAAAGAAATAAACCTCTCTTTTGTAGAATCTCTCTTTTTTCTCTCCTCTCAAGATCTCTCTTTCTCTCTCTTATTCTTCCTCTGCTCAGCCGCTGAAAGAAAGTCTCTGCCTTTGCGATTTTTCTTTTCTCCAAGCCGCTTTTTCCCGCTGCTTGCTCCTGTTCCTTTTTTTTCTTGCTGCCGAAAAAGACCCAGTCCTTTAGCCGCAATTTTCTTCCAAAGCCGCTGTTCCCTTTTTTATTTTTCTCCACGCATTACATTTTTCCTTTTTTCATTTACTTCTTTCTAATTGTATGTCTTAATAATTTTAGATTCGCTCAGAGAAGAATGTTCTTAATAGGTCAAAGTTGACATATCACCACAAAGCTGGGTCAAAATCATTTATGTCACACCAAGAGCAAATTGTAAGACATTTTTTAGTTTTGCTTATAAATTTGATACTTAATTGTGTACGTATATATATGCTAAAAATAAAAATATGTTTGAATGCAATAGGCAACACAGACTGGAGAGATGCAAGGTGCAATTGATCGTTTTGAAACAAAGTATAGAAGTACAAAAAAAGGATGGGACTTGGGAGCAAAGAAAAAATGGGTAAGTAACGTGTCAATGATGCATGCTTGTATAATATTTTAAGAATATAGGTAAAACTGATATTACTGTTCTAAAGAGGATTATATTGATTAGGTTGTAATTAAGAAGTTGCATATGATTGAACTGTATATTTTTTTTTTACTTATAGGATCAAATGATAAAGATGCGAGCAGATACCACTCAACCTGATGGAACTCGAATAATGACAGATGAGAAAATTTGTGCAAAAGTTCTCAAAGTCAAATCAGACTACATTAAGGGTTGTGGTTTTGACCCTAGACCACCACCATTAAGGTTCTCTCGTACTTCAATGAGTGAAATGTCTGAAAAGAATAAAGAGTTGCAAGAACAGCTTCAAGAGACCCAACAACTTGTAGGAACTCAACAACAGAAGATCGATGCGTAAAATGAGATAATCCAAAGATTGGAGGAGCAAGCCAAAAAGTTTGAGGAGTTTATGACTAATTTTTCGAGGCAACATCCATCAGCTTAGTATTCTTAGTGAACTTAAACTTGGAGAAATGTTTTTTGATCCTGTTGCATTTGTTATTACTTTAGACTAGCATTGTTACTTATGGTAGTACCTTTCTTGCTTTATTTATTTTAATTGTTTTGATGTACTGTGGTGACAATTGATGATAATTATTTATATTTTGTGTTTTTCTCGTAATAGCATTATATTGATGAAATAAAATTTCCTCATTATAAGTTTGCTCGCTATATATTTAGGTCGATGAAAGTAAATTTCCTCGAAATAAACCCTACAACTTAAGGTGACGAAAATATGTTTCCTCGCAATAGGCCACATACTTATGTCGTCAAAAGAATATTTCCTCGTTATAGAGTATACTGCTTACGTCGACAAAAACATATTTTCTTGCTATAGTGATACAACCATTAACAACAAAAGTAATTTTCCTCGCTATAGACCATTATAACCTATATCGACAAATGTAAATTTCTTCGTAATTGAATTTCTTTGGCGAGGATTATGGGGTACAACCTGCAACGATAAATTTAAATTTCCTCGTCATTGAGTCCCTTTACTGAGGAACTGTTTCCACGAGAAAAAGATACATATAATGAAGAAAATCAATTTCCTCGTTAATGATTTACCTTTGGTGAGGAACAATTTTCTCGTTGAAAGGTACTTACAACGACGAAAATAGTTTTTTTAGAACTTTTATTATATATAAATTAAATATTATTCACATATCATTGGCGAGGAAACTGTAGTTTAGCGATGAAAAAGGCATGAGATTAGGTGAGGAAAAATATCGAGGCTAAAGAGTAACAACGAGAAAAGAATATATTCATCGCAAAAAGGATTTCGTGAGAAATTATAATATTCCTCGCAGAAAATTTTCTTGACCACCCTACCGCGAGGAAATGATGACCAAAGTTTTTTCCTCGCGAACACACTACGGCGAGGAAATCTCGACTTTCAACGACGAACTTGTTCCTCGCGGATTAGCATTTCTGTTGTAGTGACTGGGTTGATATGGGGGCTGCTCACTTATCCGAATATCCGGTTGGGAGTTAGGTTGTTCGTCCCTGCACGTGTAACAACTCGTAAGAGGACGAGGATTAGTTCCCTCGTTGTTCCTCCGACGATCAATTCAGCTATATACTTGAGTGAGAAAATGAGAACATTGCTAGTTCTGAAGTGCAATGGAATGGCAAAAAAATGCAGAGAAAATCCTTACCATTATATTTGGAATAGTTTTACTTTTTATAACCATGCAAGAGGGGTAGTTTAGTCTTTTTGGCTGAACCTGAGCTGGTGACTGAGTCAGTGTCGACTTTACAGGTGTCGATCGTAGAGCGATCACGGGGTGGACATTGTCACTTCAGCATTAATGCGACGGGATAGACGGTGCATAAAGCCGGCGTGGTCCAATGTATCATAAATAGTATCAGGGATGGAGAAACAATGGTGTCTGCTAAGCATTTAATGTGATGTCGACACGCTGTTAGCGGGGTGTTTGAGGTTGAAGTTGCCTTTTGACTTAACGCCTTTCGAGTCGACCCAACGAAGGGGCGAATAACTAATTGGTCGAGTGGACTTGCAGTGAGTTGTTTTCGACAAGAGGACCGACAAGTACCGCCCTTCGAGTCGACCTAGGGAGGCGTCGACTCTGCAAGTCGGCTAGGTCGGAATTCTAGCAATCCTGAGCGTCAATTCGATTGAATGGTGCGCGACGGGGAACACCTGCTAGTATAAATATCATTTACATATTTTACTCTTGCATCTTGTCTATTTACATTAGAGGAAGAATGGGGAACCTGTAACGTTACTTATTAAAATTAAAAAGAGCATGCTATTAATCGTTACCATTATTTGCGCCAATCTTTGAAAATCACAGCTGTCTTTCACTTTTATTTCATAATTTCAGTGTCTCCATAATGTCGTCATTTAGTGATCTAACCTCTCAATTGAGTTCTAATACAGACCCCTAAAGACATCTTGATGACAACCGCATGTGAATGAAAACTTCATTAGCATCAGCTTCAACGCCAAATTTTTTACCCATAGCTTTCATCACCATGTCGTCATCATACTCTCCTCCCTAACTATATAAACCCCTCTCCCCTCCAATAACTCTAGAACCCCTCTCTCTCTCTCTCTCTCTCTCTCTCTCTCTCTCTCTCTTAACCAACGACGATGAAAACCCTAACCATCCTCTTCTTTTTCCTCCTTCTTTCTAAGTCTCTCGCCGACTGCGACTGCTCCGTCGATGACGATCAAGATCACCGCAATCTTCTCCATCCTCATCGGCGGTTTCATTGGAGTCTGCATACCGATCCTCGGGAAGTGGGTCCCAGCTATGCGTCCTGACCGCGACGTGTTTTTTGTGGTGAAGGCGTTTGCGGCGGGTGTTATATTGGCGACCGGATTCATCCACATCTTGCCTGATGCGTTCAAGAACTTGACGTCCCCGTGTCTGAGCGATAAGCCGTGGGGGGAGTTTCCGTTTACGGGGTTTGTTGCGATGGTGGCCGCTATCGGGACGCTGATGGTGGATAGTTTGGCGACTGGGTATTTTAACAGGAGGCATTTTATAGTTGATGATGGACAAAAGGGGAAGGGGGACGTTGAGGACAATGTGCACGTGCACGAGGAGCATGTGCACGTGCACACTCACGCCGGGCACGGGCACGCTCATGGGAGTGTTGCTGCTGGTGGTGGATCGTCGGAATTGATCCGGCATAGGGTTATTTCTCAGGTGAGCACATAACTACTCTATTTCTAATTGCCCTTTTTTTTAAACTTCGTGGTAATTTAATCAGAATGCTCTTGATGAATGCCTTTAACTTTGCGTTAATTGATAAAGCCTATTAATCTTTGGAATTTCTAATCAGGATTTCTTTGGGTGTTTTATTTATTAGAAAGAACTTCTTCATTGTTTGGATTTTATCTATTAAGAAAGGGGAAGATTGTTCTCAAGCAAGAAAATGGTTGTGGAAAATTTCTCATATTATAGTGGTTCTTTCGGTAGTTTTAATTAGATTTGATGGTTTCAGATTATTTTTTATGTAAACAAAAACTTGAAACATTGAAAATCCTTCAAATTTGCATCATTTTATTTGTTTGCTCGAAGAGAAAATTATAGGGAGACATAATTGCAGATATATGCTGCTGTATGAATTAATTAAGTATGTGCACATAACGGAGACACACTGCAAGTGAATCAAGATGCTATGTACTATTCGTTAGTCAACTTTCAAGTTTGTTGCTTGTAAAGTAAAAAAGAAAAAAGGTTTTGTATCTCGTACTGATTCAATTATGGCCGTCATGATGTTAATTCCTTTGTCCCCCTATTGACTATTGCATGTAGTTAGAGCTTCCAATTTCAACTAACCTTGATCTTACCAACTTTAGCCTTTCTTTTCATTTTTTAAATAAAAGGTGTAGGATAATGAAATACACAAGATCAAGAACAAAGAAATACATCCAAAATACAATAAATCCGTATACCACCAATAATTTGTGGAGAAATTCCTATTTGAATCTTTTTCTAAGTATTGACAGTTTGGTACACTCCAACAGGACTAAAAGTGAGAATGTCATTGGGTGCATTATCATGGTCTCAGTTATTATCATGGCTTAAACTTTCTGCTTGTTAACATACCCTTTGTTTTAAGCATGTCAGGTTTTCATAATTAGTGATCAATAGATTTGGCAATTTTTTGTGAAATATGTGCAGGTTCTTGAATTGGGTATTGTTGTTCATTCTGTAATTATTGGAATATCATTGGGTGCATCGGAGAGCCCCTCAACTATAAGACCTCTTGTCGCTGCTCTGACATTTCATCAGTTTTTTGAGGGTACAGGTCTTGGAGGATGCGTAGTGCAGGTATTGATTCATAAATAACTATAAAGATTATCAAAATATTTGGAATTTGCTAGCTGATTTCTTATTCCATTTCCTGTGTTTACGAGTCATCTGGTTCGTAGTTCCAGTCAAAACTTGAAGCCCAGAATTATGTACTTATTATTGAAAAAACTTTTATATCTGAAGATTTCATTTGATGTAAAGTATTTTCTCTCTATCATAATCTAGCATAGACTAATATTCTAAAGACTACCCACCACCACCAAAATAATAATAATAATAAAATAAAAAATTGCTTTCCATGAGAAACAAATTTGTTTCAAACTTCTGAGGAATATCAAGATGCAAGCATGACCACGGAAAACTACATCGAAATGTTAGTCAAGGATGCTTGATTCTTTAGGTAGACTGGCCTTCTTGTTCTCAATTAAACTTATGCTTGAAGGTCCCCTTTACAAACTTATAGTTTCAACATAATGTAAGGCAGAGATGAACCGGGATTTGGATGCCTAATATAGTCCTCAGGTTTGAACTTTAGAAAAAGCAGAATACTCCCTTAAACAACTTTACTGTTTCCCTAATTGAGATATTCTTCCTTTAAACAATTTATTATCTTTTCTACTTGCATACTAATTGAGGAAAATGCTATTATTTCCTACGTTTTGCAGGCAAAATTCAAAGCTCGATCAATGGCTATAATGATTCTATTTTTCTCCCTCACAACACCTGTAGGAATCGCAATAGGCATAGGGATATCATCAGTGTATAACGAGAACAGCCCAACTGCTCTCATAGTCGAAGGCATTCTCAATGCAGCGGCCGCAGGGATTTTGATTTATATGGCACTCGTCGATCTTCTTGCTGCAGACTTTATGAACCCTAAGGTTCAGGGTAAAGGAATTCTTCAAGCAGCCGTTAATGTCTCGCTTTTAGTGGGAGCAGGGTTGATGTCTCTGTTGGCTAAGTGGGCCTGATACATGTATTTCATAGGTATTTCCTCCATTTTTGGAGAATTTCTTTCTTTTTTTCTTCTTTTTCCCCCTTTTTGAGGAAGGTTGTACTGTTCAAGAAAATCAACGCATCCATAAATATATTAAGGTTTTTAGAGCTCAAGTTTAGACTACAGTTTAGATTGTTTGAGCTTGACTTGGCTATTTTTTGTGACTAAATATTTTCAGTAGGATGTATAGTTTGATAGTGTCTTCTAACCGTGGAGAGTAAATTATTAATAAAATCATTTCGTAGATAACAATGATGATGTGTAATTGTAGTAAAGGTGAACATGACGATTTAAATTCAGACAGGATAAGGTTCTAAGCAGTACTAATCTTAATTCAAATTAAGTTTATATAGTAATAGAAATAAAATAAAAGATTTTTGTTTTGAATTCTTATCAAAACAGAGCATGGATAAAGCTTTCAAGCGAGAAACGGCTAAACTGAAGATCAAGCAGCTCACAAATACCTGAAATAACTTCAAAACTTGGGAAATT